CCAAAACCCCAAAACCCCAAAACCCCAAAACCCCAAAACCCCAAAACCCCAATTAACCCTAATAGATCAAATCTAATAAAATAAATTATAAAAATATTATAAGATTTTTATAATGAACGACGTGATATTGGCTACTGCAGGATATGATCATAGCATTAAGTTTTGGGATGCATTTTCAGGAGCTTGCAGAAAATCAATCAATTATCCTGAGTCCTAAATCAACAAATTGGCAATAACAGCAGACAAGAAGTATTTAGGTGTAGCAGCACACAATGTTGTAAAAGTATATGATATATTATCTCATGAGAATGAAGTTTCTTTTGAAGGTCACACCGGTAACATAACTTCTCTTGGTTTTTAAAAAGAGAATAAATGGTTTTTCACAAGTAGTGAGGATAGTACACTTAAGATATTCGATTTCAGAGCAAGTGGATATATGAGAAATTTATCAAATAATGGAATCATGGTAAACAGTGCAGTTTTAAACCCAAATCAAGTAGAAGTTATTTTCGGTGATTAATCTGGCAGGATTAAAATATGGGATCTGACAATGAATACCACAAGAGATCTTTTCGAAGACCAGGAAGAAATTGGCATTAGATCTTTATGCATAGCGAACAATTCAAGCAAATTAGTGGCAGGTAATTCTGCAGGTATTTGCTATATTTGGAATTCAAACAATGGAGAAGATTTCTAGCCTTAGTAGGAATTAGAAGCTCACAGAGATCAATACATTCTGAAATGCCAAATGAACAAAGATAGAACTCTTTTGGCTACTTGTTCTTCTGATAGAAGCTGTAAAATATGGAAACTAAACGAAGTTGAAGATGAATTTGAAGAGTATTAAGAATTAGCTGGGCATGGTGGTTGGGTCTGGGATTGCGATTTCACATCAGATTCAGTATATTGTATTACGGCCTCGACAGATACTTGTGTCAGAATTTGGAAAATAGACAAGGCTGATGTAAGGAAAACTCTAGTAGGACATCAAAAAGGTATCACCTGTATGGCATTCAGTGACACTCAAGTTAAGTAATTAGTAGCATAATAAACAAACAATATGATACCAAGATGAGTATGCAAACATATTCATTGCTTATTATCCAAAATATAATTATAGTTAAATAGTCTTAATAACTTGCAAATGAATTTAATTGCTAACACCGGGGTTTTGGGGTTTTGGGGTTTTGGGG